TTTTTTTTAAACAAAAAATATTGAAAGATAAAACAAAAAAGATTAAAAAAAACGCATTACAGGCAAACAACAATATGAAGTGAAAACAGAACTGTAAAATCCTAGAATAGACAAGGAGTAAACAAGATACCCCCAACACATTCCACAGAATAACCATTGCATCCATCAACATCAACCCAGAGTGGGATTAACTTCAGCCCTCTTCATGAACAAAAATGGTGATTGAGCCTGAGAAAGTCATGAAGTGTTCTTTTAGCATCTCTATGACCTTTTTTCATGTGGATAAATAGCTAAAAACGGACCCAAGGAATGTAGGAAGCCTTTGATGGAAGAATGTCATTTTCTGACATATAATGAAGAACCCTTGACCAGACCACGACAATCCGATCATAGCCTTTAGATGTGACCATAGCCGTGTTTTGTGTGACTTGTGTACGTTTGTCTAAAATAAACTGATCCCACACTTTTTCAAACCAGGTTTGAATTGAAGGAGGCGAACTGGCTTTCCAGGCAGAAGCAATGGCTAGTCTTGCAGCAGCTAACAGTTTGGAAATGAGTTCCTTCTGGGCCTTGGTAGCAGAAGTCAAGTCAATCAAATCAAGAAGTGCAAGTTTGGGGCAGACCGGTACCGATTGTGAAGTGGTCTCATTTATTTTCCCAATAACCTCCACCCAGAAGAAATTTATGATTGGACTAGGGTTGCCAAATGGGGGCGGGGGGCAGGGAAACCCCCACTTTGGAAGCCAGATTTCCGCCGTGGCGGAATCGGGCCCCGGGGGGAACTCTGCCCCCCAAAGCTGCGTCACCAGAGGTGACGCAGCCATGTTGCTGACTTTGGGGGCGTGGCTGGGGTCCGCGGGGGGGGGGGGACATATGGTTTCCCCCCCGACGAGCTCGGCCACACCCCCAACGTCAGCAACATCGCATGTTACTTCCGGTGACGTGGCGGCAGCGCGCGTGCGTATGGAGCCTGCTCCCGACCTTGTCGGAGCCTCCCCCGCCGGTAAGTTTGCCAGACTTGGCAACCCTAGATTAGGCACACCCACCAGCAGTGCAAATATGACCCATATAAGTTTGATTCCCTCTTGTGATTACAGCAGTAGAAGCATTCATTTTAGACACATAGCACTGAATGTCCAAGGTTTACAAATTCCACTCCTCTCTCAGTAGCCTCTTATCACTTTCTCCAAATGTAGATGCCACTTTGCTTTCACCATGAATGTTTTCTGTAAGACACAGGAAGGGGGAAACAAACCTGACCCCAAAACTGGAAACAAGAACCAAAACGATGAGAAGAAAGGCTAATGAAGGGCCAATATTAAAAACCTAGTTAAAACTTATAATATATAAAAATACAAGTATTCATTAGAAAGACAGTTAAAAACATACATAAGGTCTAAACACAAGGGCCAATACACATGACCTGATGTGTTTCTGCCCTATTGGGGACTTCTTCAGAGGTCAAACAATATTGAGGTACACATAACTTAAATACATATTGTAATAAGATAACCAATAAGTGAATATTGGACCAGGAAGAGGAAGGTTAAGCAGCAAGATCTAAAGACACATGGCAAAGATGTTTGCGAGGCCTCAAAAGGTGAAAGTCATGTGTCTGGTGCCAAACACACAGTTGCTGAATTAGAGCATTTTCCAATTTAGGTCCAAAAAACACCTATGTGGCAATCAAAGTCAGAGCTAGAATGTCCTCAAGCAAATAGATGTTTTCTGCCACCTTGCCATGGATGCTTCACTTCCTGCTCATTTGCCCCTTCCTGGTCAATTTGTCCAAAATGATTGTTAAAGAGGAGCTTAGGACTGATAGACAACTTAAAAAATGATAAATCACCAGGCCTGGATGGCATACATCCGAGATTTCTGAAAGAACTCAGATGTGAACTTGGGAATCTCCTGACAAAAATATGTAATCTTTCATTAAAATCTGCCTCCACTCCTGAGGACTGGAAGGTAGCTAATGTCACTCCCATCTTTAGAAAGGGTTCCAGGGGAGATCCGGGAAATTACAGGCCAGTCAGTCTGACATTGATACCGGGTAAATTGGTGGAAACTGTTATTAAGGAAAGGATTAGTAGGCACATCAATGAACAAAAACTACTGAGGCAAACTCAGCATGGGTTCTGTAAGGGAAGATCTTGTCTCACTAACCTGTTAGTGTTTTTTGAAGGAGTAAACAAACATGTGGACAAGGGGGACCGAACAGATATTGTTCACCTTGACTTCCAGAAAGGTTTTGATAAAGTTCCTCACCAAAGGCTCCTAAGTAAGCTCAATAGTCACAGAATAAAAGGACGAGTCCTCTTGTGGATCAATAACTGGCTAATTAATAGGAAACAGAGAGTGAGTATAAATGGGAAATTTTCTCAGTGGAGGGTGGTAAGCAGTGGGGTACCACAGGGATCAGTACTCGGTCTGATGCTTTTTAACTTGTTTATTAATGATTTGGAGTTGGGAGTAAGCAGTGAGGTGGCTAAATTTGCAAATGACTCGAAGTTGTTCAGGGTGGTGAGAACCAGGGAGGATTGTGAGGCATTCCAGAGGGATCTGTCGAGGATGGGTGAGTGGGTGTCAGAGTGGCAAATGGGGTTCAATGTGGCCAAGTGCAAGGTGATGCACATTGGAGCCAAAAATCCTAAATATAAATACATATTGATAGGGTCCAAACTGGCAGAGACTGACCAAGAGAGAGATCTTGGAGTCATAGTAGATAACTCAATGAAAATGTCAAGACAGTGTGCAACTACAATAATAAAGGCCAATGCTATGCTGGGGATTATTAGGAAGGGAATTGAAAACAAATCAGACAGTATCATAATGCCCCTGTATAAATCAATGGTGTGACCTCATTTTGAGTACTGTGCACAGTTCTGGTCACCACACCTCAGAAAGGATATTATAGCATTGGGAAAAGTGCAGAAAAGGGCAACTAGAATGATAAAAGGGTTGGAACACTTTCCCTATGAAAAAAGGTTAAAATGCTTGGGGCTCTTTAGCTTGGAGAAATGACGGCTGAGGGGTGACATGATCGAGGTTTATACGATTATGCTTGGGATAGAGCAGGTAGAGAAAGAGGTACTTTTCTCCCTTTCTCACAGTACAAGAACTTGTGGGCACTCAATGAAATTGCTGAGCAGTCGGGTTAGAACAGATAAAAAGAAGTACTTCTTCACCCAAAGAGTCATTAACACATGGAATTCACTGCCACAGGAGGTGGTGGCAGCTACAAGCATGGACAGCTTCAAGAGGGAATTAGATAAGCATATGGAGCAGAGGTCCATCAGTGGCTATTAGCCACAAGGTATAGATAGATAGGAACTCTCAGTCTGGGGCAAGTGATGCTCTGTTAATTCTTGGTGTTTGGGGGAGACAACAATGGGAGGGATCCTAGTGTCCTGGCCCTACTGCTGGACCACCCGATGGCACCTGGTATTTTTGGCCACTGCGTGACAGAGTGTTGGACTAGATGGGCCATTGGCCTGATCCAACATTGGTTTCTCTTATGTTCTTAACATTACTACTCTTTCTCACCTGTTCATTTTTTTTTTCTGGATCAAGGCTACAGTCCTTGAAAATCTATCAGTTGCTGAGCAAGTAGAAATCACCTTTTGAGTAGGTTTTTAGAAAGAGAGAGAGGAAGGTTCAACTAATCCCCTTTCTTCACTCTTAACAATTTGTGTGTGTGTGTGTGACATGAACATCAGACTAGAAGGTATGTAATCTAGGAGGTGTTTCAGATCATCCTGAACTGATTAGCTGAACGGTGGCTGCACTTAAAGTAACCATCTGTGGAAGCAATCTGTATTTTTTTTTTCCTGTTCAGCAGAGACGTTTCATTCCATAAACTGTGCAATCAAAGCTATATGGTTATAAATTACATCCCTGTCCAGAAGCTCTAATGATGTGGCAATACAGGATCACATCACCTGCCCTGTTCTGGAGAAGCATGTGCTCTTGATGCAGGGAGAGACAGAGCCATCTCAAAGACATGGGATTTCCCTGTATGCATGGTATAATAGGGCAAAGGCAAGACCACCTAATCCTTTCAGTAGTTATTCATGATTTAAGAACATTTTCTTCTTTTCCACTCTTTTAGGAAATTGTGTGTGATATGATCGGGTTGATTTCACTAGTCAACTTTTGTTGGATGTTGGAAAGTCACTGGAATTTTAAAAACCCACAAAAACAAACACTTCCCCCACCTCTTCCTCTCTATTCACAGGTTCAAATATGAGTTTACATGTTACTTGAGCTAAAAATTTTATGACTTAAGGATTTGCAGGATCAACCTCAGAACTTTGGCTAGTCTTTTCAGAACTCTTTTTCTCAGCTCAAAATTGCTTGGATGTTTGTCCTCATTAGGAATGTCCAAAGTCCTCTCAAGGGAATAGGGTGGCTTGCCTGGACCCTGGGTTATGGGAAGAACATGACATTCTAGCATCATAGTCTTATCACTGTTTACTACTTATAATCCCCACTTGCTTCAGGCCTATCATACATAATGTTGTAGCACTGTAGACTACATCCTAAATGATCATAGAGAAATCATTTTAAGCCATTGCTGCACATTTATCACCATTCATTTTTATTCCTTTGTATGGTATTCATGCATGTTTGTTGCATGCAGATATACTGTAATTGCTTGGACAAGAGAATTATTACAAGAAATAATAGTACCAAGCTTTATATAATCCACAGAAAATATGTCATTATGGAGACATGCAACTTTAATTGCATTTTTAACAGCAGTTATGCATGGATAAAGTCTTAATAGTTCATTTTGGATCAGTGCTTTCTCACCAGTCATTATGTGTAGTCTTTTCAAAGTCTGGTACTTAGCTGCACCAGATCAATCTATACATAAGCATTATGCTGCCAAAAGAAAACTGTACTGTGTAGAATTAAAATTGCATTCCATTTTAGTGGAACTTTCTGAGCACACATTACCTGGAGGATTCCCAAATTCATATTTGTATTTATTTTAGCAGCTCTTGGAAGCTCATGAAGAAAAGTTATATGGCACGTCACCCATGGACATAGAAGTTGATCTGGAAAGCTACCAAACTGCATTAGAAGGAGTACTTTCATGGCTTCTGACTACTGAAGATTCATTGCAAGCACAAGGAGATATATCCACTGATGTAGAGGAAGTTAAAGAGCAGTTTCACATCCATGAGGTATGTGTGACCAACAAGACTCAAAAACCAGCACAAGCACTTCACCATCTGCTAATTGTTATTCTTCTGTCTGTACAGTGCATTAAGGCCAAAGGCATAAAATCTGATTGGTATTTTGAGACTTAATTTTTCCTTTGCTCATGGGATTGTTTTTGAGTTCTTGTTGCCAAGCATTTGAATGAAAGGCTAAACTTCTTTTTCAATTATTTCATTCAATAACTCTGTAGAAGTTACAATTTAATCTGCAGCGTTGAAAGTCATCCTTCATTCGCTGGTGGTAATTGTTCTTATTTTTTTAAGGGTTTTATGATGGAATTAACAGCCCACCAGGGACGTGTTGGTAATGTTTTGCAAGTTGGCAGCCAACTTCTATCATTTGGGAAGCTTTCAGAAGATGAAGAAAATGAAATACAGGAACAAATGAATCTTCTTAATTCACGTTGGGAAAATCTCAGGGTCACAAGTATGGAGAAGCAGAGCAAGTAAGTAAATACGAATTTCGGGGAGCAATTTTGTAGCTGTTTTGTGGTAGTGCAGTACTTGGTGTGAATTTGATATTGCAGCCTTCTTAGTTGCAGTTTCACAAACGTTGCAGTCAATTGGTGATAAGAGAATGGAAGCAGAACAGCACAGATGGACAAGTATCACCATTCTGAAAGCAAGCATTTTAAATAGCTTTTATCTAAGCAAGCCTTATTAAGTGCAGCTTTCCTTCATGCATCAAACAAAATGTTTTCCTTTTAATACATAACTATATAACTGAGGCCCTGGCCCCAATATTAACATCTTCATCAGTAGCATTATAACATCATTTAAACAGCCGGATATAACGCAGATTACGCTGGCAGCTGATGGTTTGTTTGTATTGTTGGTTGCTGCTTATGCCCGCCATCACTTAGGAAATCATCTGAGCACTAGCACTTTATATGTTCTTATGTGTTTTTTATTGTGATTTTAGATAAATTGCTTGTATTGTTTTATTATCTTGTGTAAGCCACCCTGAGCCCACTTCAGCACGGAGGGCGGGGTAGAAATTAAATAAATAAATATTACTAAGATTGGACTGAACCAGAGCTCATTTTCCACCAGCAGAACTACATGTCCCATATTATGTGCAGAGTTGTTCCTAGGGCCCTGGATGGAGTGTTTGGGAGCCTCAGCAGGCTGCAATAAGAGAGGGAACAGGAAAGTTACTTTCTGTGAGCAGAGCACTGATAGCCATACTTTGGAGACAGCCATTATCTTTTTATAGGAACAATGGAACTAGGGTACAGAATTTCTAACTTACTCTATTCAGATCATTTTTCTAATAGTAAATTTACTTAATTTATATCCCGCCTTCCCCACCAAAGCAGGCTCAGGTCGAAGCATGTTGTATGTGAAGCATGTTGTATTTGTACAGTGGGGATACACAATGCATCTGTAAACCATATGTTACTTTGAACTAACACGTGGTTCAAATCAATACCAGTTCAGATGTAAGGTTTTATGACAGCAAAAATACATACAATGGTATAGAGGTCTGAGGTAATAAAGCAGTATGAGGAGTAAAAGTGTGGCTCTAAGGTGCTGTGTATATTTTTACTTCATGAGGATTTAATTCAACTTCTTTCTCACATAAAGGAAATATATCTTTTTAAATCACATTAAGACACAATGTAAACCTGAAAACAAGAGAAAAGAAATATAAGCAGTAAGAATATTAAACATTAGAAGCAGTAAGAAGGGAACCTCCCTGAGGTCCAGGCCTCATGCCAAGAAATGGAAGTAAATGTGGCTCTTGAGGTTGAGGGTAACTGTGAATGTGGCTTATGTGGTGGTGATCCCCACACACCAGGCCAGACACACGCTCGATTTGATCTTCACAGTGGGGATTACAATGGACCGGATTACTGCAGTGGCAGTACCATGGTCGGACCACTTTGCCCTGAAGGCTCGTCTGAATGTCCCACCCCAACCCTGTTTAGGCAGCGAACAGATTTTAGCTCGCCCGCGGAACCAAATGGACCATGTTCGGCTTCAGATGGCTCTGAGGGATCCGATGCCCCCTGGCAGCTCATTGGATGAGCTTGTGGAGGACTGGTATGACCGACTCTCCACAGCCATCGATGAGATTGCTCCCAGGCACCCTCTGCGCTCTCACTCTAAGCTTTCCCCTTGGTATACCCAGGGGTTGCGGCTTATGAAACAAGAGCTAAGACGGCTAGAGAGACAGTGGCGGCGTGCCCACGACAAAGCATCAAGAACATCTTATAGGACATTTATGAGATCCTACGAGATGGTAGTCAAGACTGCTAAGAGGGAGTTCTATGCAGCCACAATTGCGTCTGTGAGCTCATGCCCAGCCCAATTATTTAGAACAATTCAGTCTTTAACAGTTCTGCCCCATGGCAGACAAAATAGTAGGGAATTGGATATTGGCTGTGAGACTTTTGCGAGCTATTTCGCAGACAAAGTCTTGATGCTCCACTGTGATCTCCCTGCCACAATTGAAACAGTAAGTGAACTTGAGGCCCCTTGCATGTCTTCACAGGGTGTATAATGTCTTGACCTGCTCAGTCTGGAGGAAATTGACAGACTGCTCGTATCTGTGCATCCAACCACGTGCCGCCTTGATCCGTGTCCTTCCTGGCTCATTAAAGCGGGCCACGAGAGTTTTCGAGGTGCCGTAAGGCACTCAAGGAGGCGATGGTCCATCCTCTCCTGAAAAAAACCAACTCTGGACCTGGCTGGATTGGCCAACTATCGGCCGGTGTCCAATTTGCCCTATTTAGACAAATTGATTGAGAGGACGGTGATGACACAGCTTCAGAGCTTTCTGGATGATGCTTCCGTCCTCGATCCATTCCAGTCCGGCTTTTGGCCAGGTCACGGAATGGAGACAGTGCTGGTTGCCCTTACCAATGATCTTTGGAGGCATCTGGATCAAGGCGGTGTGGTGGCACTGTTGTTGTTAGATTTGTTGGCCGTGTTTGACACTGTCGACGACCAGTTGCTGACCCACCACCTCGCTGACGGGATACAGGGGCTTGCTCTTTAATGGCTTGCCTCTTTTCTCCAAGGTCGGGGACAGAGGGTGGTGATAGGGGAACAGCAGTCCCAGAGGCACCCACTTGAACGTAGTGTGCCTCAGGGGGCAGTGCTTTCCCCGATGTTGTTTAACATCTATATGCGCCCCCTTGCCCAGATTGCCAGGAGGTTTGGGCTGAGTTGCCATCAATATGCTGATGACACCCAGCTCTATCTGATGTTGGGCGGCCGGTCGGGCTCCGACTCAGAAGATCTGAACCGGGAACTACAGGCCGTGGCTGGGTGGCTCAGGCTGAGCTGGCTGAAACTAAACCCAGTGAAGACGGAGGTCCTGTGCCTGAGTCGGAGTGGACCGGGGTTGGGGCTCCCTCTCCCGGCCTTCGATGGGGCACCGTTGGTGCCAGCGTCGGAGGTTAGGAGTTTGGGAGTGCTCCTGTATCCCTCCTTAACTATGGAGGCCCAGGTGGCAGCCACTGCCAGATCGGTATTTTATCATCTTAGGCTGGTTCGGCAGTTGGTTCCCTTCCTCGAATGCGATGACCTAGCTACAGTAATCCACGCAACGGTCACCTCGAGGTTAGACTACTGTAATGCTCTGTACATGGGGCTGCCTTTGGTGCAGATCCAGAAGATGCAGCTAGTGTAGAATGCAGCAGCCAGGCTGATGATGGGTCTCCCCAAGTGGGAGCATATCCAGCTTGGGCTGAAAGCGCTGCCATGGCTGCCAATAGCATACCGAATCCATTTCATAGTGCTGGTACTGACTTACATAGTGCTGGTCTGACTTACCTGAGGGACCGCCTTTCCCCACATATACCCCCAAGAGCACTTCAGTCCGGGGTGCAACATCGCCTGGTGGTTCCAGGCCCCCGGGAGGGAAGGCTCGCCATGACTAGGGCCAGGTCCTTTTCAGTGGCGGCCCCTACCTGGTGGAATGGGCTCCCGGAGGAGATCAGGGCCTTGTGGGATCTTATGCAGTTCTGCAGGGCCTGCAAGACGGAGCTCTTCTGCCAGGCTTTCACATAGGGGCCGCCACTACCGCCACCACCAATGATGTGTACAACATCGGGGTTAAGGATGGCCTGGGAAGATCTGCCACAATTTTGCGCAATCGATATTATCGGACTTATTTGCTTGGGATCAGCTGTAGGACAACATCATCCCCAGAGAACTGTTTTACCATCAATGTATATTTTCGGGGACTATCCTGTTTTCAATTGAATATTATTGTTGTTGTGACTAATTGTTACTAATGTTTTTATTGCTTTTATCCTGTTTTATATGGGCTTTGCCCCTTGTAAGCCGCCCTGAACCCGCTTTGCGGGGAGGGCGGGGTAAAAATCCCAACAAATAAATAAATAAAATCTTCTGCAGTGCAGGGATGGCATGGATGGCAGGAGCCTGGCCTTGGAGTACTGGCCTGAGCTCCTCACATAGTGCTTGAGTGGCTGCCCTATCCAGGCAGAAGCAATCCAGTTAGGTACTGTCAGAGAGCTACAGCATCCTGATGTGTGCATGGTATCACCTAACATGTTGCCTTTTCTGGCATCACTGTGCCATCCAAATGTACAGTGCAGGCAGGAGATGGATGAGATGGACCCCAAGCAGGTGGGAGTGAACAGGAGGGGGGGTACCATCCCAGGGCAGCCTGGCTGGTGCCTGCAGGAAGGGGGAGGCAATAGCACCATGGTCCAAGTGCTGTGGGCCCCTATGACCTAGCTCCTCACAAGGCCCCTCCCCTTTCACCTACCTCCTTCCTCAGGACTGTGTCCCATGCCCATGTGGCATCTCCCTGCTGCCTGGTCTCTTTCGTGAATGTGAAGGGAGGTGGGGTGCATTCCAAGGTCCTATGGTACACACAGTGCCTGACCTGCCTCTGCATTCCACTGTATGTGCGTGGCATGGCAGCAGTGGCATCTGAAGAAGAAGAAGAAGAAGAAGAAGAAGAGATTGGATTTATCCCCCACCCTTCACTTGGAGTCTCAGAGCGACTTACAAACTCCTTTCCCTTCCCCTCCCCACAACAGACACCCTGTGAGGTGGGTGGGGCTGAGAGAACTCTGACACAAACTGCCCTTTTTCAAGGACAGCTATGCCAGAGCCTGTGACTGACCCAAGGTCACATCAGCAGGTGCAAGTGGAGGGGTGGGGAATCAAACCCGGTTCTCCCAGATTAGAGTCCACACACTTAACCACTACACCAAACTGGCTCTCTGGGTTGATGGCCACCAATCTCAAGTGGACCAAGGCTGAGAAGGAGTTGATGTATGGGTTGGTGGTGGAGCATGCCAGTGTGGCCCTTGTCACCATTGGGAGCTGTTTGGCTACTACTTGCTGCCATGCCTTCTGGTACATGGCAACAGAGTAGATCTCTGCCCTAAGTCATGCAACCTAGACAGAGACATCTATCCTAAAGCACTGGAATTGTTTGTTTGGCCCAGCTCAGCAATGT